AAAATGTTCGAACCGTTTTAAATTCGAATTTGTTATTGCATATTGGTTCGATTATAGAACGATTTTGTAAACGTTTCAGAAAATTGATCAAATTGAAAACAGTTCGTTTGATTCTTAGCAATTCTCATTATTCTTCAGCGGTAGGTGTTAAATAACAATTACTATGGTTGTTGAAATACTGAATATAAATGGTGTTTGCTTGCAAAACCACCCGGGCGAAGTCGCGGGTAACAACTGGTAGGTATATATTATTGCTTATGTAGTCGCCATAGTTCTGAGACCGCAATAAACAAGTATACGATCTAAATCGAAATAAATAAACAAACAGTTTTTTGGAATGTACACTTTAAATAAACAAATAAATTACATTGTTAAAAAAACAAAGTTTAACACGTTTAATCATCTTTGGATTATGATATATCTAGATACTCCGGTTGTGTCGTGACGTTAAGAGAGTGACACTTGGATTTGAAAAAAAAATAATAATAATAATAATAATAATCCGTTAAATCGAGGATTTACTTTATTTTCAGAGTTGTAAAATTTTACTTCTTTTGTATTGACAATTTCTGTTTAATACTTTGAATATCGAACGAACATCTTAAGGATAATGTTGAACATTTTAAATGAACGGTTTATAATCCAGATTCGCTTTTATTTAAACATTTAATTTCAAGAAGGAAGTCAAATTTTAAAAAAGAAATACGGCGCAGTTTTATCTTTCTGGCGATTTAAGTTAATATTCTTGGAATATAAAGTTTTATATCAGTCTGTCAAATTTATAATAATAATGTTTGTTGTGTATGCCAGCATTAAATAAATATTCAGCTTTTCACAAAAGAAAATTTTGCAAAACAAAAATTACGACTCTACTTCTTGTTTATAGAGAATAAAAAGATATTTTGGTGTCTCGTAAATACACATTATTAAACAAAATAAGCGATATAGAGGAATATTTTTTTATTTCTGAAAGAAAATTAGCCTAAGAGATGAAAAATTAAAATTTGAATAGAAATTTACCGATAATATTGATATATCAGATCGAATATTACATATATCAACATCAAATGATTCGTAACTACCCTCGAATTTTTAATATTAAACTTATTCTAGGAAATAGAATCATTACCCAAGTGTGTACCTGTAGAATACACGACATAGATAAAAATATCGTGTGCAAACACATTATTTACATAAGAGTAAATAACATCGTATTTATATCAAACTTCTATATTGTAAATGTAACGAAAGTCATTATAATAAATTTTTCGTGGTAGAATCAAAATAAAACTGAAATTTTAACATAACATACTACGAGGTATCCCTCGTCTAACATGGTAGATTCGTTCCGAAAAAGTGCAATGTTATACAAATCCGTGCTGTACGAAACAAAGGACTAGTACAAAATATAGGATTACGTTTCAGAAGTTAGCAAAAGTATACAAATCTTTTTCGTTACTAAGAGAAATATGTTTATTAAAGCAATCGATAATTTATTTCCGATCAATAATTAACTAACAAGCACAATTAAAAGTACCGCATTACGCGTTAATATTAATTTTCGTTAAACCATGGCGTTTTCTTTTTACAAAGTATCGTCGTCATCTCACTTGATCAGAAGTATCAGCAGCATTTTCATAGTTTTTATTTTTATCATAAAAATTTTTATGATAAAAATAATAACTTAAAGTAAAATATCATTAATCGAAAATTTGTCCTAGCATGTCGCGTTTGTTCAATCGAGTACCGAACGACTTTTTTTCAGAATTTGCTTTCGAATACCGAATTGTTCGAGTATCGAGATAACGCCATTCTATGAATGATTGCTTACCTACAGTTAATTTAACACTTTGTTAACACTTACTTAAAAATGTTTAAATAAACTTTACTAAATACGAAAATTAATGTATGAAACGAAAACACAGTGACAATCTTAAGAGCTAAAGTCTTTGAGCAACGACAAAGAGACCTGGTTGATAGGAAGTTAGTGCATTTTTTTTCTTTTTTGTCCTATCAGTTTTCATAGTAAACCTGACGAAAAGCAAAAAAAATTAATTTGAAAATTTCAATATTATAAAATCCGTGGGCAAATTTGAGATAACGCGTGCTTGGTTGAATAAAAATATATCGAATAACGAAGTTTACGCCTAAAAATTGTGAAATTTTTGTAAAGAGGATTTCCAAAACCGTGTTAGAGCGAAACCAGAAGTCGTGTTGTACGGGGGGATATCCCCAGTTTTCAAACAGTGTTAGAGCGAAACCGTGTCGTAGAAGTACCATGTTGTACGTGGGATACCTAATAGTACAAGTATTTGCAGAAGACCACATTCAAAGTAACTTCTGCAGCTACGTATTTTGTCTGTATCCAAACTCCTTATCAAAAATAGTCTTGAAAACCATTTTTTTGTTACTCCCTCTCTGTACCTTTCACATTGTTTCATCAGTCCTACTCTGTTAATGAATATTTGACCAAGAAGGTCAAAACAATGCTTTCTTAATCTTTTAAGCTTTGGATGTTACTCTCAAAGACTTCTATCTGTTTCGTAAAATGAGAGTTGAAGGATTATTGGTTTCAATCAGATGTACCGATGGAAAACACGTGACAGACCACATAAAGACAGAAAAAAAAATAGTTTTACGAGCGCGTATCGAGTTTCGATTAATAAACATTTCTTGTTTTAGTTTTTTCGATAGTAAAGCTACTATCGAAAAAACTAAAACAAGATACGTTTCCAGTAACAAACATTATTCGTTTTTGGTAATATTCATTTTAAGACAATAAATGACACAACATTAATTGCAAAACTGTGTATAAAAATGGAAAACAATGACTATGCGAATTCTAAACGTATCTTGATAAAATAAAAAATTTAATTTCATTCATTATTTGAGGAGATAAACGGTTTTTTACATTTTTGAAAGTTCAGTACAGCGGAATAAAATTACTAATAAAAGTTTTTGTAAGTGCATGTTTATTTGCGTACACGTAAATATGTCAACATAATTACGGACAAGTATTTGTCAAATCAGCGCTTTAATTTTTTATTGTCAGAGCTTTAGTTCAATCTGTCTTAGGACAGAGTCTGTCCATAATCGACAGCTTTCCTCATTTTTGTTTTCACATTACTACTTTCCTCATTTTTGTTTTTACATTACTACTTTCCTCATTTTTGCTTTCAAGTTTACTGGAAGTGTTTCGTGATAAGCTGGCGAAGTTTCAGCTTGATGTGGTTTTCCACTTTTTCAAAGGATCGATTTCTCAGCCATTCTCATTGACATTTTGCTTTTGCTGATGACAGGATATTTCTACCTATTTCAACTGGGGGACATTTGGAACGTTATCTTCGTTAGAAAAGCAGGCCATCCTATACTGCAGGAATAGTGTGTCATATCTGGTCAGACACATACTTGTCGTTCGAATACTGTATTGCTTTCTGAAGGATAGTGCCAATTTTTTTAATACTGTATACTTTACTGTATAACTCCTTATCTATAGAAAAGTTATATCAAGGGTCTTTATTGTTACTAACATTTCTCTAGAGCAGTGTTTCTCAACGGGGGCGATATCGCCTCCATGTGGGCGTTTTTCCATGTTGAGGGGGCGATTAATAATTTATATTTTGGGGAGCGAAAAACAATTTTCTGGGCAATATAGTAAAACATTATATTAAAAATAATTAGATATTTTATTCGTTATATTGTATAATAATTAAACAAATAACATTATACTAGTCACTAGTCTATTCAATGCAGTACGAATTAGGCGTTAGCCTTGTCTCTCGGCATCGGAATTTTGTAGTGAAGAGGGCGATACTACGTTGAAGGGGGCGACGATTCGTTAGAGGTTGAGAAACACTGCTCTAGAGTCTAGACTGATCACCATTCGTGACACTTTCATGTGTCTCTTGAACCTGACATCTGGATTCATGTCTTCAGTTTTTTTTAAGTAAGAAGATTTATTTTCTATGTAGTCGTTTTTCGTCAACCATGAAATACTATATAACTCAATGACAATATGATATGAAAATATTTTAGCTATTGCAAGTCTCCTTTGCTTAAATTTAGTAGAAGTTCTCGCTACGTTTGCAACTATTTCTTGGGTACTTTAGTGCGGAAGTTCTTGTTCTTCTGGCGATGTTTATTTTTTTCAATATTTTAAGTTCAATTGTAACATGTGTCAGGTGTGTGGATGTCAGCAAGTGTTGATGGACAGTCCACAGCTTTGTCACACGTGTCAGGTGGGTGAGGTAACAGTATCCCCAAGTATGTGGGGGAGATTGTCCCGCCTAGACAGGGAAAATTTGTGGGTTTTCCTTTGTGGGGTGTGTAGAGTCAGTGTTGTGTGTGGAGGCAGTACCGGGGAGCTAACCAGAGTGGGTAGCTGTGTGGCTGGTCAGGAACCAGTATTGTAATTATCAAATAATTGTCGGGTGCCGGAGTGTTGCTCGATGGTGGGTGCCAGAGAGTCACTCGCTGATTTGGAGACATTAAAATGTAATTTTGTTGTTATTGTTAGAAAGGAAGTGTGTACTGTGTTCTTTTAGACCGTGTAAACGGGAACATTTCATACCACCATCATCACAACATCATTTTTTCTACAACACAATATTCTAGGACGTGTGTAAGGAATCCTGAACTTTTTTTACCAATTTTTGTAATGATCGGCAAACCTTCTCAATGATTTCTTCCAACTGCCTCTCTTCTTTTCTTATCTGGCATTTTTTCCTTCTTCCGTCTTCCAGAAACTTGGTAACGGTTTCTGCTAATCAACTTTATTATATTATATATGATACTTTTTGACAATATTATAACATGAAAATGCTGTGCAGTGAATATTTTATCTAATTTTTTTAAGTTTAAATAGACTAATTAAATTGCTGCCCACATCTTTTTCAGCAGTTTCACTTTCGAATAAAAGTACGATTATTATTTAGAAAGCTCCTGCATGAAGCACGTGATACAGAAATAATTATTATTCACGGGGAGATAGATGACTTTGGCAGTTTGCACTGTTTCTAAAAAAACCTAATTTAAAAATTTTGGATTTATTTTTTTTTTTGACATGCCAATATGTAAAGGATTTAAAACTTTAAATGTATTTTGTGTACACAAAAATCAACTTGATTTTTGTGTACACAAAGTATCAGTTCTATGAAAAATTAGCAAAAAGCAGTCATCGATTTATTGCATTTTAATTGGCATTTATTTTACGTGGCAGAATCTCAAGAATATAAATCCTCTTGCAAGTGTTGTTCTCCGGTAGACGTTGAAGTGACCGACGTGGAATTAATGTGCGACGACGGATACAAATTAACGGAAAGGTTGGCTCATCCCAAAACCTGTGCTTGTTATCCTTGTTCCGGATCGAATAGTAAATTAAGAGAATCAAATGAGGAAGAAAATTCTTTGAAAAATAATCTTAAAAACGAAGAATTTTCTCAGAATAATCTCGGTGAAGAACAATATTCTCAGAATAGTCTCGGGCAAGAACAATATTCCCAAAGCAACGTTCAAGAACAAAACAGCGCTCAGAATGATCTACAGAATTACGCACAAAATTTAAACGATTACGACCTCGATTAATGGAATTAAAAAACTTGATATGATTGGAAAATATGGACCATTCTATTATTGTAATGAAATTCTATTTAAGAATTTTTATAATCATGGAATTTTGTATATTCATTTTTAAAAAATTCAAATATGTATATTTGAAAATAAACCTGTACAAGCAATAACTATAAATAAAGAGCAAAGCAATAAAAAGATTTTAATTTTCAACAATGTAATTTTGTGTGAGTTTTTTTATTCACTTCAATCAATATTTACATTTATTGGCACTTCTAATAAAATGTTAATCCATATTTATTATTTGATTTGGTTGACTTCTTATGGCAACGCGACACGTAGGCGATCTGCCGAGAGAGGATACCCCGGGAGGACTTTCTATGGGAAACTAGCTCTTATTTAAGTATTAACACTTCGCTGGGTTACGTACGCTTACGTTTCGTTTATAGCTCTCTGTCCTGTTACGCTTCGCGTCCAGTGCAAATCACGCCTAAAACATACTAGCACAAAATAAAATTTGTCTGTGTTGCCATCTGTTACGCGATTTTGTTTAAAAACTTTTTGCCATTTTATAATTAATTATATAAAAGTTTAATTTTTATGGTAGAAACGCGTTTTATAACATTTACAAATGCTAATAACGAGTAAAATCTTTAAGTTTGACCCCACTAACTTTTTCTCGACCTTTAACCACCAAAATTTAATAGCATTAATGCCCCTTATACTAAAGCAAAGTTACCATGCAAATTTTGTTTCTTAATCATATCCCATCCTGAGATAATGAAATACACATACACCGAATTTTTTCCGTTTTGACTTTTTTGGATTCAGGAGTTATCAAAACATGGAGTTTTGCACACAAAACAACCTCGGAAGGTGAAATTTTACGTGATTCAATGCTTTGTTACGTATACATAACAACCGGGAAGGTAAAAACAGAATTTGGCATGGTAACATATATATGACATTATTAAGAGTGGTTAAAGATCGAGGGAGTGAGAAGATTAAGAAGTGTTTTATCTCGAGAAGGGGCAGACTTAATCATATTTTATTTGTTGTTAGCATTTGTCATTTCTTATAAAACTCGTCTCTATCCTCAAAATTAAACTTAAAAAACTTCTTATATTTTTAATTAATCTAACAAGATCTCGTAACAAATGTGGCCACAAACAATTTTAATTTTGTGCTAATATGTCTTAGCGTTTTTGTTCGATAAGTTATGCATCCCTCTGCTGGATTTTTTAAATTAAAACTAAGAATGCGCACATTTTATGATACAGTACATATATTTTGGCATCATTGACTAGTTATTTTCGTATATAGTTTCTCTGAATGACCCTAGATGGCGCTAACCAAGTGCAAATTAAAATTATGCCATTCTTCTATTTTCATTTTGCTTCCAGTAAGCAACGCGTTAATCCCTCGAAAAACGCCTTAATCAAATACAGTGGTATCTTTGTAGTCGACCGTACAATCTCGACCCGCTAGAACAAATTTTCAGTTAATAACAAATACAATGTCTTTATAATTAAAGTTTCACTTTGAAAGTACCATAAAAGGAAAACTACTGGACAAAATGTTATCAAACTTGGTAATAGTTTACAGGAAGTCATGGAATTTTATTTTCCGCAAAAAAAATAGTTCAAAAACTCATCACCAGCGGGGAATGGCGCTGTATGCAATATTGTTAAACGAATTAAGACATGAAAACATCGGTTGAAAATGTTTTTAATCGTTTCTAAAACGAAACTGTTTGTGTGGTTATGCAAAATCGCAATGGCTTACGGCAGGAGAAAAGCAAATTACAATTATGCAAATGCGCTTTACACGGCAGTTGATTTTTCAGCTGTTAAAATTAGCTTCGTCAGCTCTCATTGTAACGAGTCAACGATGTCTATAACTTTGCAAGACCGTGCTTTTCTCGTTAATTATTTTAATTGTTGTTATGAATGAGATAGCAATGAACGGCGTGCTTTGCAAAAGTATCGTACCATAAGACGAATACACCGAGAGCCAATGGCACCACAAGGTTTAAGGAAAATGATGGCAAAGTTTGAAGCCACAAGTTTGTTATCTGTTGCACCTAGGCGCAGAAGGAAGTCTGTTTCTGTGGAAACCGAGGACGCTGTTGCATTAGCAGTAGAGGAAGAAATAATGGAAAACATACACGGAACATGCAGCATAAGTGCTGTTGCACGTCCAATGGACTTACCATTGAGTACGGTGTACAAAATCGTTCGTAAAGTGCTGCGATCTACCCATACAAAATCAAACTTGTTTAACAATTTGAACCTAAGGATCCTGTGTAAGAGTATCTTTCGCTTTGGAATTCCTTGCACGGATGGAGATGGACGAACATTTGCCTTGTAACATTTTGTGGACGGATGAGGCCCATTTTTACCTAAATGGGGATTCAACACCCAAAACTGCAGGATTTGGGCCAAACAAATTTCTCGTATTATCCACCCAGTTTCATTGCATTCTTCTAAAATCACTGTTTAGTGTGGTATGATAGCTAGTGTCATAATTGGATTTTTTTTTTTTTTTTTTTTTTGAAGAGCAATCGACAGCTGGGCCTGTAACATACACTACGACTTGTAGTGTATGTTACGGGCCGTATGCTACTCGCTTCGAGTCGATGTTAAGACGTTTCGTGATACCTGAACTTAAGCAACGTGGCATTTTACACCACGATTTTTATGCTGGACGGGGTTCCACCTCACATTGGTACATTTGTCATTTTTTTACTTAAGCAACATTTCACTGATGACCGGATTATAAGCCAACACTTTCCCATTTCTTGGCCACCCCAGTCACCAGACCTCAACCCCTGTGACTTCTGGCTATGAGGTTACCTCAAAGCCACTGTTTATGATGATAACATAAACAATTTGGCGGAATTGAAAGATGCGATACACCGACATGTCCGTAACATTCCTCCTGATATGCTAAAAGCTACTGTTATGGATTTAACTGGCTTTCACAAAAATGGTGGACGCCACATTGAACATTGTAACACGTGTTAGAAATGATTAAAAACATTTTCAACCGATGTCTTCATGTGTTATTTCGTGTAACAATATGGCATACAGCGTTGTTCCCCGCTGGTGGTAAGTTTTCGAACTTTTTTTTTTGCGGAAAACAAAATCCCATGACTTCCTGTAAACTGTTACCAAGTTTGATAACATTTTGTCCAGTAGTTTTCCTTTTATGGCCATTTCAAAGTGGAACTTTAATTATAAAACCCTGTGTTATTCTCACTCGTAACAGTTACTAGAACAATAGGCAATCCAGTACAAATATTTTTGTTTTAATTTTATTTGTTTAGTTAAGTTACGGCAACGCAATACTTGGGTGATCTGCCTAGGGGAAATGCCTTCCGGGAGGTCTTTTTAAGGGTAACTGGCCCCTATTAATGCGTTACAGACGCGTAAAAAATCCAGAAAATTCCATGTGGCCAGCTCATCGTGGCAAGACGCAAACCCACGACCAAACTCCCAGTGTTCAGAGAACGGAACCGCTTGGCCATTAGTGGGCCGTTTTAATTTTGTCATCAGTAAAAAGTTTTCTGCGATAAAAATGAGTAACTAGTTTAAAAATAAAATGAAACCGTAAAAGTCACTTGGGAATTGAGAAAAGGGCAACCCAACGACAAAGGAGAGGTACTGTACATGCTCTAATATACGGACGCCCCTGATTCTGATATGATCTTAAAGCACAAATATTTGTATTTTCCACACAGTTAAACGACACAAATTCTAGTCTGCAAGAAAATTATGAAAATTTAATCAAAGTCACTCTCTCCCAAAGAATTAGAAATAACGTTAATTGGCAAGATGGTATAGTTTTATTCATTCGTTAAATTAAAATTTGAAAATAAAATTCCATTCCCGATAATGGTTGCACGAAAATGATTTGTTTCCAAACATGTAGGCTACATATTATATCGAATGCATTTAACAATTCCTGTAACAAATTGTGAAGGAGAATGATCTTTCAGTAAATTGGGATTTATTATACATCAGTTTGCTAAAAACAAAGCGAGAAAGAAACTTTTAATACAGTTATTGTAAATATTTTTAGTGTAAGATTAATAAAATATTTCTATTTTTAACGTATACTTGTAAAAATATTCATTTTTCTTTTTATTTATACTTACAATACTTATATATTTTTTATCTTTTCACATAGTTTCAGAATTTAAATTTATATATTTGATTATATGCACAAAACATATATATATTTTTATGTATATAATGTAATATATTATACAATATATATATATATATATATATATATATACATTTTATGATGGGCCCCTTTTGACATCATAGTCCATAGGGTCATCTCTAATCATCATAAGCCAACTCTGGTGACATCGTAAAATCCTGTTTTCGACCGCACGTCACAAAAATATGCCTGGACTGGACGCGAAATTTTTGAAAAATATCTTAAATGGGAGGACGAGAATTTCAAAACAACGCTGTTGTTTTTGTCTAAAAATTTTAATGGAGTGACAATAATCATTTTGTTCAAAAATGATAAGAAACGCCGTCATATTCCTCGTGATAATTTAGAAAGATTTGCGCTAATTGATTATCAGAATATACATTAAGAAGATGAAGCGCACCTTTTCTGTTGACTTTAATCTTGGTTTTTTTGCCTCTAATTATATCGAAATAATAGCAAAATTCAGTCCTTTTCGTAATAGAAAAGGACAGAATATTAAATATTAAAGATCAGTGTGACTGTTTAGAAACAAAATTGAACTTGAGTGTAAACAATCTTTTAAATATATTAAATAACAATTTAAACTTAAGTAAGTTGGGAAAGTTAATAATAATGAATTATCGGTGTGTTATGATAGGTGACACCAAGGGAATCAACAATTATAACGTTTTTATTCGTATCCGATGCCGACATTACAGAAAGCGTTAGCGCTTGACAATTTTTGAGCGGTTGAAGCGTTTACTCGATTACTTAGATAATATTTGTAACGCTTCACTTATACAAAAATTAATTGATAATTCGTATACCGTGTTAATAGATTAATATCGTTCCAATCACAAATATACTCATGTAAAATAGCCAATTATTTAACTCCTTTTAAACACAATTACAAGAAATATTCCTTCCATTTTCCTAAACTAGAAATTTCAAGAATGCGAATATATTTTTAT